ACCTACCTTTCTATCACTCTCCTCTCTCCCATCCACCTCTCTCCCATTTTTTTTAAATAGTCTCTTTTGTCCTGTCATAGTGCTAAGATTTCTCTCCCATCCACCTCTCTCCCATCCACCTCTCTCCCGTTTTCTTTAAATAGTCTCTTTTGTCCTGTCATAGTGCTAAGCCAAGTCCTCTTGAGAGCTAAGAGAGAGAAGGAGAAAAGAAGTTTTCTTGTTAACGTCGAGGCGTTCGATGGTGTAATTTTTCGAAGTACTAAAATCCTCTGCAGTTCCGTGGATGTAGGCAAATTAGCCGAACCACGCAAATTTGTGTGTTTTTTTCTGGTTTGTAATTTTTCGATCCAGTTTTTTCACTTTGTTGCCGTCGTTTTTCATAATATTTAGATTCAAGCAGTTTTGAGTCGGGTTAATTTCGTGTCAGACCCAAACCCGATTTGACACTCTTAATTTAAATCAATTTGGACAAGGGCCAAACAATCGAACAAGCATGAAATGTCTAAAAAATCTTAGAAAAAATTTAGTCCTAGTTTTAGTTTGTTTCACCCACTCCATCGTCGAAATAGAATGTGCCTACCAAGGATTCTACTTCCAATGTGTTATGCAAGTCAAAAAGCAAGTTATGGAATTTAGCAGCTTGGATGAGCCTCTACAAGGCTCATGAAAAGCTAGCCCCTAGCCCTCACTGACGAAACTATTATGTGGTATGTTAAGTGGTTTGAGGCCAATATTGGGAGTCACATCGATTTCTCTTTTATCACGTTGGATTAGAGAGGTTTTTTTATTCTAAGGTTCACTGCAAGATGATGAAGATATTGACAAGTATTTGCTCTTCATTTCATTGAGGACATTGTCTTCCGATATCAAGTTAGATTTTTTATAGCTAATTAAATTTGAAGTGTTGTTGAGCTGATTATACACCATTGATAGTACCACGTCATAGAAAGTTTCTATTATAAGAACTCAAGGAAGGAAGTTGTGGTGGTATTAAGAAAGCGCCAATATTGACATTTTCTTGTTAATTGTATCAAGTTTCAGAATTTGTAGAAGTCTTCCATAATGACAAGGAGAGTTTTGTTACCGGAATGTTTAGTTTGAAAAAGTAATGATCTGGTTGATTGAGCTATTTTATATTATGATCTAATTGATGAATTGTTCTTTGTAAGTTTCTATTAGGATTTCTATGCAAACTTCAGTAAATTGCCTTGAGAAATAATAAGCGCTCAAGGAGATTGCACACTATTAAACCTTGCCCCACTTGATCTATATGAAATGTGAACCACACATTTTGTTCCCAACATCTATCTCGTATGTGAGATCATCTAATTTTATGCATGCTATTGTTTTCACAAACAATTTTTTGGAGTCTCAAGAGATTGAGGGATTTTGGCTAAGATTTGGAATTAGGTTTATGTTTTAGTGTTGGATTATGATTTATGTATTTCTTTTTTAAATTTTTCTTACATTTGATGGAAATGAGTGATTTGAACCTTTTATTTTGAGTTGGGGGTTATGATTTGTGTGGAGTATGGAGGAAATAATGATTTTCTTGCTAACTCTATTGAACGTCCAGAATTTGTAGAGTCCTGCACTCTGACAAGGAGGGTTTTGTCACCCAAATGTTTATGTTGAAAAAATAATGATTTTGTTGATTGAGCCAAGTTAGTTTGTTCATGGCAGTTAAATATGAAGAGTTGTTGAGCAGTACCATGCCATATAAAGTTATTCTATTAGAAGAACTTAAGGAAGAAGGACAATGACAGGGTTGATGTGGTATAGGCGTTATTAAAAAAGTGCCAATATTGGGGGTGCTTTTCTTATTAATTGTACTGAGGTTCCAAAATTTGCAGAAGTCCTCCATCAGGACAAGGAGGCTTTCATTACCGGAATGTTTAGGTTGAAAAGAGAATGATCTTGTTAATTGAGCTATGTTTTATTATGGTCTATTTGCGGATGTTCTTTGTAAGATTTATTAGAATTTCTATGCAAACTTTATCAAATTTTCTTTAGAAATACTAATTGCTAAAGTAGGCTGAACACGATTGAACGCTGCACCACTTGATCTATATGCAAGATTAACGACACATTTTGCTACCATCATATTTCTCTGAGTTGGGATCATCTAATTTTAAAGTGGTGCCATTGTTTTTGCAACCAATTTTTGGTGTCTTAGGGGATGGAGAGGTTTTGGATAGATTTGAAATTAGGTTTATGTTTAGTGTTGGATTATGATTTTATATTTCTTTTTAATTTTTTTTAAAACATTTGGTGGATGGGAGTCGTTTGAGCCTTCTATGATGTGTTGGGGGTTAAGGTTTGTGTGGAATAGTGGGGAAGGGTTAGAAATAGGCGGAATGGGTAATGTGTGAAATGGATGGGACGGGTTGCATTTTACCTTGTTGCCAAATTGATGACCTTGGTGATATATATTATACTTTCTTATTCTTATCTTGCTGTCTTTGTGTTCTCCTTTGAGTTACTAGTTTCTTTTATTGAATTTTAACCTTAAGATATGAGAAGAGCATGAGAGAGCTTAGAGAGATGAGTGAGGAAGGTTTTCAGATGGGAAGAGAAAATGAAAGGCTTTCTCTAGATTCATGCATAGAGGAGGGAACTTGTAAAAAGAGAGAAAATGATAAATTCGACTGGGGAGAGAGCCGCCTAAAATTTTAAGAATAATAGGATTGTTTTAAGATACAACATTCCTATCCCTATTTATAGAAATTAGCTCATTTTAAAACAAACTTTAACTGAGAATCCTAACAAAAGAATTATTATATTTAATTAAAAAATGAAGGATAATCCTAATTGATACACCACTCAAATGCTTTATTTGATTGAGCATGCATTTTGACACGAATTTTAAGATCTCAAAGCACTTGAGTATTTGGACTTGAAAACTTGGGAATTGATCTCGGGATTCATTTGATCTCCATTTTAAAAAAAAGTTATAGTTTGGGATAATACGATTCAATTAGGCAAACCCAGTGATACCAAGAATGTTTAGATTTGAGTTCAAATTGATCTGAATCAACTGTGTTGATGCGTCATTGAAGATTTTCTTGAGGCCATTAGGGGTGTCAAATGTCCTCCAAATTTTGCATACCCATGTGAAATTGAGTTGCTTGGCTATCCCAAGATCACTTAATTCTATGTTCAGTGTTGCTTTGATGTGCCACAACAAAATTTAATTATTTAAGGGTTTTTGAGCCATGTGATGGACTGAACTTTTTTTAAAAAATGATTTGAGTGCTCCATCCGGAAATATCTAATTGTTTTTACTAAGGTTTAATGGAGGACTTTTGGCAGAGAGAATGCTTAGACTTAATAATTTAGAGCTATACCAGCATATTGCCCAATGTCGGCCACCACCTAGCATCGATGCCTACAATCACCATTCCCCAATAATTTTTTGTCAATCATTGATGTCCAACACTCAGTCTTATCATTCCTCGGTCTCTTTTATAAAAAAAAGCTTTGGATATCATCATTTGATGATAACTCTAATATGTGAATACTCTTTTTTCATCATCATAGGGGATATAGTTTTTGGACTCATTTATATTATATTATATTGAAGCTTGGAAATAATACCCTTTGTAACACTAGGTGCATAATAGGGAAATTATTTCAACTGGGTTATAGACCGAGTTTTTTTTTTTTTTTTTTTTTTTGACCAAAAAGAATATCATATCTCTAATATGTAGTGATATAAAAGCGCAAAGGGCAATGTGACACATAGGACTTTTTTTTTGCCTCAAAGCGCGAAGCGCAAAGCGATGCGATGGTTTTATTAACCAAAACACTAATAGATTATATGAAACTATTAATGATATATATATATATATATATATTCATTAGTAATTATAAAAAAGTCTTAAAGGTTGATATAAAAAAAAAGAAAATGTGATACAATACATAACTTGAAGGCAAATATTGAGGGTAAACATGTATATTAAAATTTCGAATAATTTCTAATTGTTTGCCACATAATTAAATACCTAAACTTTGCAAAATAATAATAATAATAATAATAATAATAATAATAATAATAATAATAATAATCTCTGCAAATTAACTTCAAGGCTTTGAATAGCTCCTTAGGGTAGCGAAGCGGGCGAAGCGGGCGAGGCGGGCGAGGCGGGCGAAGCGGGTATTGATTGACTTTGCTTCTGAAGCGTGCTTTTAAAAACTTTTCTATGTTGCTCTCAACTTATCAATGTACGTGTAAAATTTCATGATGCTAAGGTGATAAATTTTCCCTACCCCGCCATAGATATTACACATAAACTTAATAATGAAATTCAAAATATTGTCTAAATTCGTATGGATTCAATTTTGACAGGAAATTTGTCATAATATTTGGCTTGATCTGGCCCCTGTATTCCATTTACTTTTATTTTTTACAACACCATCAGCCTGGCTAGGAAATTCACCCGGATAAGGGTAAACGTTTCATCCATCAGTTCATTTCCAGATCTGATTATGGGTTATCCTAATCAGTTCAAGCCCATTTTGGGCTTGATTTGGTCGTTTTTGATATGCTTTAACACTGAGCGACCAGTGTGCCCATTGCACTTGCTGAGCTCGTCCGATGCAACAGCTCATCCCAAATAAGCCAAATTAACTCCGGTCTATTCTCCCCCTTGTATCAAAATAATTGTTCGGTGAAAGATGGCTTTTTAATAATCCCAGCAATTACGTTTTACTCTGGATGCGGTTTTTTTGGAAACTTGACATTGTAGCATTACTTCGATTGTGGTGAAAGATGGCTTTTTAATAATCCCAGCAATTAAGTTTTACTCTGGATGCGGTTTTCTTGGAAACTTGACATTGTAGCATTACTTCGATTGTGCATAAGAAATCTCGTGTAAGCGATGGTTCTGCCAGATTTCAAAATGTTGATTTATTGCTGTACATTTTTTTTTTATTCATAGAACACTCGTTTTATTTGTCTAAAATGGCTATACTAATTAACCCGTGTTTTCTTTGTGCAGTGGGTATGTATTTGCTGTAAGTGTCCACAGGGTCCAGCTTCTTTTGCAAGTTCTGAGCGTGAAACGTTTCCACCATCAACAACAACAGCAAACACAAACCAGCGCACAGGAGGAGCTTTCATCATCTGAGACTAATGAGATATGCGACTACTTCAGCCGGCGCGTTGCTTCAGAGCCTTATGATGCCTCGAGGGTTGCATCCTTCATCACCCTCCTCACCCTCCCAATTTCAGTCCTGCGTGAATTTCTGAAACTGATTGTTTGGAAGAAAGGTTTATCTCAGGCACATAGCGGAGACATAGCTTCCACACAGAGAGCACGGATCGAGTTATGCTTGGAGAATCACTTGGGGTCTTCTTATAATGAGAACTCAGATGTCTCATCTGTGTCAAAAAGCAACATCCATCATGACCGTGCCCACAACTTCGTCGACTTTGCTCTCACTTTTGTCCTTGACCCCGCTCATATACCCCATGTCAATGCAGCTGGCGGAGCTGCTTGGCTTCCATATTGTGTCTCAGTGAGGCTAAAATATTCATTTGGTGAGAATCCCCATATATCTTTCCTTAGAATGGATGGGAGCCATGGAGGCAGAGCTTGCTGGTCTCGTGGGGATGACTGGGAGAAATGCAAGCAGAGGTTAGCGAGGGCCGTGGATTATGCCAATGGGAGTTCTGTGGGAGATATTAGCCAGGGAAGATTGAGGCTGGTCGCCGAGGCGCTTCAAAGAACGCTGCAGGCCTCGCTGCAACAGCTAAGAGAGGGCTCTCTTTCTTCTGCCGCTGCCATGACATAGAAGCTAGAGGTCTCGTCAATGGCTGAATTCATTAGAGATCTTGTACAGTGTAAATTAACCATCATCAAATGGTTTGTCATCAGGATGGAGAAGCATCATACATTAGCAAGGACCCATTTTTTCTAAATGAATTCAGATCAAACAGGGAAAGATGAAACCTGAAAGTCTACTGCATGCATCGGCTACGCCATTGAGTGGTTCAGTTGTCATCTGAATTTTGAACCGGAAGAATGATTTGGTGTACAAATGGTTGGATGTGTGTGACGTAGGTAGCTGGGTCAGATAAATGATATTTGTTGTCCAGTCCTTGAAGAATAAGTAGGGCATTGTAGAAAAGTGGGTTGGTAGTAGTTGTTGTAATATATGCCCTAGTGAAAGTTTTGGGGCTACTGCTCGATTATATTTCATTTGTAGGAACTCTATAAACCTGGCTTCCATCATGCCTTTGGAATCATCTAAAGAAACACAGTTTTTTCTTCATATTGAGTGGAAGATCTATTTTCAAGTTCATATTTTGCTACCATATTTATGTATAGAAATCAATGTTTGTAGATTCATAATGAAGCCATTGTTTTTGTTTATATTACATTTCATACCTCCTACTTAAATCCGCACGCAAGGTAAAAAAATGTATATTTGCCTTGGCAAAGTTTTTGTACAAAATTTTATATCTCCATTAAGTGGAAAATGTGGTTGGGCTAATTACGTTGGATCTGCTTCAGGCCTTCCGAGGAGGTTTACTTAGTTTTTTTTTGCCCCATAAGCTTTATTATTATTACTATTATTTTGTAGACTTGGGTCTGTGCTTGTATTTTGTAGTTGTTTATTATTAATTTTTTCTTAAGAAAATTATGTAAGCCCTGTTGGGTTTCAGGGGTAACAGTTTGCGCCTGGCCGCATACATTCATCGACTCTGGGTCTGTTTGGGGCAGCTGCAGCTTATCCGCATTCATCGACTCTCTCTGCTGAGATAAGCTCGTTCTTAGTTTCGATCATCAGTATTTTGTCAATTTGACATTATGAATGGACTCTTTTGGCTCTGTTGGATTCAAATTTGTCCGGTAAATTGTGCCCAAAGATGGAGTGTTGTGATTGAGGAAATGTCCCGTTGAGACGAATTGGGAGTTCTCTTGCTTTTGGATGCGTTTTATTTCATTTAATTAGTTGGGTTACAGAAGGGGGTTCACCAACAAATCTTTTTATATGAAATAACCAACTATTTATAAATGATAGAGGGAGGGGGGTGTTAAAAGTAAATTATGATATTACCCTTATGTTTAAAAATGTTAGTACATGATTATTTAGTCTTTTTTGTTAGTGCGTAATGTTTGGTAGCTTCTTGACCGTTGGATTGGTCATTTAGAAGTTTTTTTGTCAGGGGGGATTGCCGGGTTCCAGTGGTCGATTGGAGGAAAAATCGCCCGTTAGAGAAAAATTTGTCAGTCAGAGGAAAGTCGACCGTTAGAGGAAAATAGGCTATCGGAGGAAAGTCAACCATCGGAAAGAAAGTCGACCATTGGAGGAAAGTTGACATCGGAGGAAAGTCGACCATCAGAGGAAAAGTCGGCCGTTGGAGGAAAGTTTGTTGTCGGAGGAAAATATCGGTCATGGGAGGAAGAAGTTCGCAGGTGCGAGTTAGACAGCGGTTCCTTTGGCCCGACGGTGACATTTTCAAGCTATAAAGTTGCAAAATGAAAGCTCGAGCTTGAACCCGGTCTAAATGACAAATTTGAGCTTGACTCATAGTAATGAAACTAACTTGTGAGTCAGCTCATTTGAGCGGTAGATGAAATTATCATTGAAACTCACCGAAGAAGGTGGCTAGAGAAGTAGAAGTGCCCCCAACAACTTGTTTGATGATGCAGCACGGAGAACAATAGCTAGCTAGTCTAGTTATCCCGCAAAATGAGCTTCAACTCAAATTTGTTTAATAAAAAAGCTTGAGTTTGAGTGAGTGGAGCTCGAGTCCGCTCAACTCACTTACATGTCTAGACATACGTGATGGCCTTCTGATTGGTCATAGGCTGACAAACCCAATTTGTACCCTAGGTCCTACACTTGTTAATTTTAATGTGATTTTTTAGACCAATTTGTCTGATTTTGTTGCATTTATTCTTATGAACCGGGGAGGTGTTTATTTTAACTACAAGATGTGGGATTAAACGTTTATCAATTAATTTTCTCAAAGAATTTTAGCGAAACTGATTTGATAATAAATTATTGGACTTTAGGGTTTTCAAAAAGATCGGCCCAATGATATAAATTAAAAGCTTTTCAAAAAGATCGGCCCAATGATATAAATTAAAAAAAGAGTTGACCAAACTAACAATTTTAAATTAAAAAAGTTTGAATTATTACAAAATAATAATAATAATAATAACCTAATTATTTTGTTGGTTAATCAAACGGCCGGATTGATATGAACCAAAAGCTTGACTTTTGGAGCGGTCCAATCGAAATTTTGGATGGCTTCGATCGAGCCAACTGAATTAACAAAATCATGGCCATCCAAATCATCATTCATGGCCGCGATTTGCACCACGGTGATGGGAAAATATCCCCATGTTACAAAACCCTAACATTGCTGGCTTGTAAAACCCTGGTCAAGTGGGGTCGTGATTGGCCAGTGGAGTTAGGGTGGGGTTTATGATCTAGGGTTTCTTCTTCTCCGCTCTCTTCTTCTGTTTGGCTTCTTCTTTGTTTTTGTTTTTATCTTCTTCCAGAAATGGAACTTCTGAGCAGAAGCGAGAGCAGAGGAACTGCTGCTGCTGCTGCTGAGTTGGTGCTGATTTCCGTGGTGGATACTATGCTGATGGGAACGATTTTGGGGGCGGGAAAATTTCTCCTTTGGCTTCTCTGTATGGTAATACTCTAATTGTTCTTATTTTTCTTCATTCTTTAAGAATTTTATGCATTTTAATGTTTAGGTTTTGGATTTGACGCCTCTGGTTTAAAGTTGCGATTTTGTTTGGTTTGGTGAGGTAAGAAGTTCATAATCCTGCTGCATAGGTTATTTGTATTGTGAAATTTTTATATTTTTCTGTTTCTCTTGCTTGGATTGCAACAGCTTATTTTGGTTTTTGTCCTTTTCTTTGCAAATTTTATTTCTTTTTGTGGTTTTAATATCAATTTGTATTTTTATGTTTTGGATTTTTATTGCTTTCAGAAATCTTTGTCGCCTATACATGACTGTCTGAAGCCTAATGATTAGTTTTGACTTTTTTGCTTTCTTATTTTTGTAGAATTTAAGAATGTGTGTTGACTTTTCATGTACATGGTTTAGCAGTATTAGATGTTAGGGCTTGTATTTAGGTTTAAAGCTCATTTTTTTCTTTGATATTTTTGTTTGTAAGCTAAGTTTTCGGTCTCCCTGTTTAGATCTAAATCAAAGAAATAGTAGTTGTTTCTTAGATCCTAAGGGGGTGGTTGGTAGCCAGATTTGAACAGGATTTACACAATACTTAACATAAATCTAGCAAAAAATAATTGGAGAAATTAAATCTGCACTTCACTAAACCCAAAATTTCTTCTCTTTTATTACTTTTTTAAAGTTAATTCGGATTAATATAATCCAATTATTACGTGAATTTGATGGATTTAGCTTTGGAAGAAAGTCACAGGAGTGGATTTATGCCAAACACGGTAAACAAATTTAATGGATTCATCCTTAAATTGAACCAAACACTATTCTGGATTTACGATATTTGGATTTGATAAATCCGAATTTACGGGATTTTCTCATTTCTATTTAACCTGAATCTTATAGGCAGCCAAACACCCCCTAAGGATGTTTGTTATTGAACCTTCTACTCGTGTGCTTTCTCTCATGCTCTCCCTTACCTACACATTTTCTTACAGTGCTGCATGATGATTTTTTTTTTCCTACATTTTTTGTTTCTAAAAATTAGGCTTTGAATGATAGAATTTCAAGCGAATTTGACATCGACTCAAGATTGGCTCAAAGTTATTTGCTTTGATTTCAGGCCGAGTCAAATCAAGTTCTAGTTTAGCTAGAATCTAGTTCTATTCAAGATGAAGATGGCTATGAACTTGGCTCAAATAACTAAGATCACAAGAAAAGTGGATCGATTTTTGGCTCAAGAAAAGGGCATTTACATGCATATCACTCAATTCCTATGTATTTACATATCTAACACCTAAGCTTCAATTTTAATGAGCGTACCACCTTACATATGCATGAGAATATGTATTTCACTTTTAAAAGTTAAAATATGGTATTTTTAACGTGATACGAAAGATTTGGGTGTTTTAAATATAAGACATAAAGTTTTGGTGTTAGATATGTAATATATAGGAATGGAGTGGTATGTACGCAAACACTCATTTCTTGATTTTAATTTGAGCCAAAAATGGATCCACCTATCATAGAGACAAGTTCATAGCCGGGCTTAAATGTTTATGATTTGCATCCGCTTGAAGGTTGCATCATTGGTTCTTATGTTGAACAGGGTGCCAAAAAAATAGTGGAACTGTTGTGATGATTCTCATCCGCAAGCTAGTTTTTTTTTTCTCCCGCCTCTTCCTTTCTGTCTCTATGAAGCGAAATTTTTTGTAACATTCACTTTAAAAAGCCCAAAGTTTGGGATGAAAATGAAAATAAAAAATTCACATTTCGTTGGAGAGCGAAAGTATTGAGATGTGAAAGGAAATTCTAAGCGAAATTATGCGGAGCTCAAAATTCAATAGTGCAAGTAAGCGAATGGAAGAGTGGTATTTTTGGAAAAGCATCGAAATTGGGCTTAATTTATTCCAAAACTGTTACTTTCAAATGGAAATTCTAAGCGAAATTATGGAGAGCTCAAAACTTCAATAGTGCAAGTAAGCAAATGGAAGAGTGGTATTTTTGGAAAAGCATCAAAATTGGGCTTAATTTATTCCAAAACTGTTACTTTCATTTCTCACTTATATGGCCTCCAAATGTTGATTTCTTCCAGTGCATGAATGCAGTTTTCTTCATACACCGGTTGACATGGGGTGAAATAAATAATTTACGGTTAGAACTGAATAAAATTTATAGCCGGCCCCTATCACATTATAATCATTTTTTTTATTCAAATGTTTAAAAAATGTAAATAAATTTAACAAAATATTTCTATTCTTTTCTTTTTACTACAGCGAATTGCGTAATACAAGCTTCAAGCCACTATAGCTGCTTCTTATTTTCTCTAATACCTACTATATACTACTAGACTTTTGTCTTTATTTCACTATAATATTGGGCATATGTCACCAATCACAATCAATCTTTTTTCTTAATTATTTCACCTTATTTGACTTTTGATTAGTTAAAATTATTTTAGGCTTGTTTTTCTGCAAGATGCTGGGTAAATGCGCAATTTTGCCAGTTTCTTTTTATGACCATGTTTTGAGATACCAATGTTCACTCTATATCACTTAATGCATTTCAAGTGCTTTTGGTCTGGTTTAAGTAATAGGTTTTTCCATATTAGTTAATTCATTGTTCTCTTTCATGTTAATAAAGTGTGAACATCTATCTCTATTGTAAGCCACAAGTTCATTAATGTCTGAATGGATGCTTTAATTTTAACTAATTAATGATTTGAATAATAACTAATTAATGATTTGAATAATAATACAAGTTTTCTTTAATTTCAATAAAAAGTTATTTAGCGCAATTTGTAGGAATTTATGTGTCCTCGGTATTTAATGCTGCCGTTCTCCCCTTTGTGTTGGGGACTAGCCGGAAATTTAACAAGGAAGGTGTAATTTTCAATTTTTTTAGAGTCATTTACATACATACCACACAAATCTTATATTTTTTTGCATATTTAACACCTAAACTTTGATATTTACGTGCATATCTCAAATTTTTAACATCACAAACATTTTAGAAGTGAAAGTCACCTTTTCATGCATGTTTATATATAACACGAAAGTGTTATAACTTGCATTTTCATTTGTGCTGAATTGTATTTGCATTTAATTAATTGTATGTGAGTTATACTAAGTTGAGACTTGAGAAAGGTCATTTTGTACTTTTGTTTCTTCGTTTAGATCCATACCAATGAAGCTAACTGTATAGTATATTCTTAGGTTGTTTTGCTTTGCGTGTAATGAACATTTTGGTTGTCATAGAGGTAATATTAAAGATTTTAGAGGTTTTAGTATATTAATCATGTTAATTTTTGAAATGCTTGTAAATAACTTTTTATTAAATTTTAATCTGATGTTTAGAAAGTCTGTGAGAATTGGAAGAAGAATGATAAAAATGTGACCAAAGTTTAGGCCTTATATAATAGGGAAATTTACTTACATGCTACACAATTCTTATGTATATACATATTTAGCACCTAAAGTTTGATATTTGTACTTATAACACTTTGGTGTCAAGAAAAAGCGTATTTCACATTTAAAAGGTTAATAATTTTGATTTTTTTTTTGTTAAGGTTGTGAGTATTATATATGTAAATATGGAAGTTACGCTGTTGAATATGTAAATACATAAAAATTGTGTGGATTGTCAGTTTCATTGGAAATACTTTTTCAGTTTAATTAATGATTCTTTACTTTTTCAAAATCAAACAAATGACCTACTTAAACAATTTAGTTACATGAAACTTTATTGATTTGTAGCAATCACTTCTTTGACTTGTTTTGATGATGAAGGACGGCATTTTAGAGATGAAATGGATCAGGGTATAGACAGACTGAATTGCCTACAATTGCCGAATGAGCTGTTAGAACCAGTCTTTTGTTTTTTTGGGGCTTTTACATACATGCCAGACGATTTTATGTTTTTATATATCTAACCCCTAAACTTCAATATCTGCACTCATAACACTCAATTTTTTAACATCACATCAAAATATCACTTTATTAACTTTAAAAAAAAAACACCTTTTTATGCAAAGTTTATAGCACGAAAGTGTTGTAAATGTAAATCTCAAACTTTAAATGTTAGATATGTAAATCCATAAGATTTGTGTGATACCTATCTAAATTTCCTAATATGTTTGGTGGATTATTGATTTGTTTGTAACATAATGTTTATGTGGCGAACGTAAAGGGATGCTTAATGCGTGGCTTTGTGCATGATGAAACTATAATCATTTTCTCCATAAACATGGATTCTGCTTGAAGTAGCTGCAGGTCTTTGCTTTTGCTTGTTGAGATTCACCATTTTTGTGAAGGAGTTAAATGCAATTGACTAAAGCATATTAAAACTCTCCATAATTCTTTTGCATAACTGTACTATCTATCTTTTGAATCTCTTGAACTATTAAATAAAAACTTTATTATGTGCAACTGCATCTTTTTATTTTACAAGTTTGTTTTTCGTTTAGGTTACTCTGACTTCTTTCTCTGTTGTTTCATGTCTTTGCATTTATGACTCACAAATTGTTATAAAACTGAATTTTAATATCTTGTTCCTTTTTTTAAATGTTCAGTCCACGCAGAAAATTTACATACATATCGTACAATTCTTATGTATTTACATATCTCACACCTAAACTTTTATATGTATATATATACACTTTGGTGATTTGAACCTTTGCATGAAAGGTGTATTTATCTTTTTAAAAGTGGCAATACTGCTATTTTTGATGTGATATTAAAAATTTGAGTGCTATGTGTGTAAATATGAAATTTTGAGTGTGAGATATATAAATACATAAGAATTGTGTGCTATGTATGTAAATGACCCCCGAACACCAACAACAAAAAAAAAGACCAATGGGACTCACAATTTGGTCAATTTTATATGTAAATATTGTGCTTGCATGCTGCAGTTTAGAGTGTGTGCTGAGAACTAATGATTTTCTTACTTAATATTTATGCTTACTGATGATTTTTGGGATGAATGCGCTGTCAATCTGCATCATAATTTTGTTTACCTTTTTTTTGATTTATCGTTTAGCGCATTCCTTCTCTGGTTTCTTAGAATACTGTTATTAATGCAGATTGGATCTTCACAAAATGGAGCTAATTTATTTGATGAAGGATCTGACATAAATAAAGGGTGAGGGCTCATCACCTTAGAATGCAAACTTTTGTTCAATTATGTTGGTTTTTAGTTCATCAAATGAGCTTGGGCACTATTTTTTTCTTTTTTTCTTTTTGGCTGTTGTTACTTGGTAGATTTCCTCTTTCATCTTTGAGAAAACTCAAAGATGAATCCGTGCCGGAGAATAAAGATGACGGAGAATCCGATGACGATGAGGAGGAGGATGAGGATGAAGTTGGCGATCAAGATGATGATGGTGGTGAGGAAGATTACTCGGGGGAGGAAGGGAATGAGGAAGATGAGGATGAACTTGAGGCCAATGGTGCTGAAGGAAGCGATGACGAGGATGGGGATGAGGACGATGAAGATGAGGATGGAGATGAGGATGATGAAGATGAGGATGAAGATGCCGAGGATGAAGATGATGATGAAGATCAACCACCTCCTAAGAAGAAAAAGTAAAAAAACTCCATCTTTCTCAAGAATTTTCTCATGTGTAAGGTGCTGGTCATCATTATTGTGGCTGTTAGATTAAGGTTTTAGAGGAGGGGCTGCCTTAGATTAGGAAAAGAGACATTTTGAAAGTTACTTTTTGAGTTTTTACTGTCTGACTTCTTTGTGGTTTTATGATTTAAGTTTTTTGATTTTCTGACACTTTGGTAATGGATGCATTTTGGTTTGTTTTCATGATTTTACATGCATTTGACAACATTATTTTGTTTTTACATTTCTAACATCCTAGTTTTTATATTTACATTTGTACGTTTTGATGTTATAAATTTTTATGCTTGAAAAAGGTGTGTTTTATTTGTAAATGTAAATAACAGTATTATTTTTTATTTGATATTAAAGATTTTAGTACTATGCATGTAAATATGAAAGTTTAGATGTTAGATATGTAAATATAAACAAAGTTAGTGGTCAAATTTGATCTTGATGATATTATATTAGAAAGATAGTATAAGTTAAATAGAATGAAGAACTTAGGAAAATTTACATAAATAAAATATAAGTTTTATCTATTTATATATCTAACATCTAAAGTTTGATATTTACATTTATAAATGCATGAAAATATGTTTTTTGGCTGTTTTTCTGAAGTTTATAATGATAATATCTTTGATATGATGCTAAAATGTTTGAGTGTTATACATATAAATGCACTAGATATGTAAATATATAAGAATTGTTTGGCATGTATGTAAATATTCCTAAATTATATATTGCATCTCTATATTCCAAAGTTCTCCTAAACTCTAGTCTCTTTAAATGTTAAGAGATCTCCTATTTGACACATCGGGGTTGTGAATAATCCAAATTGGAATGAGCTGTTTGTGTGTTCATATTCGGCTCATTTTAATTTTTATTGATTTAAATTCGACTTTATCTTAGAAATTGATCGATAAGAACGTGTTCATTCGCCTCATTTGAATTCAAATTGAATATATGTTAGGTATGAATAGATGGTAAATAGATAAAAGAACAGTGCTTCAATGTGTATAGTATATTAGTTGAAAATAAAGCGAAACATTTTAATGTTTCGTGTGCTCATCATTCGTGATAAAAGACAAGTAAATAAATAAATAAATTACTAACTTAACATACTAGAATTATTTTGTTTTCTACTAATCAATTATAAATATGAAAAAAAAAAAATTAATATATATACATATATAATCTCAGAGTCTTATAGAAAATGCTACTTTAATGTAGATATTCCACCTAATGATGGCGCCTGGAGATGATTTGAAAATGCTACTTTAATGTGGATATTCCACCTAATGATGGCGCCTGGAGATGATTTTTTCTTTTGTTTTTTTCTTCAACAAAATTTAGGCCAGACATAGCATATATCATTGATAAGAAAGATGATTATAAATGATTGGAATCAAAATAAAGCATATATATATATAATTTAACAAACCTATAAGGAGAAATAACAAAAATGAGAGAGAGTCTAGCTCATATAATCCTTGCACTTTGTTATCAAAAAGGGACTCCGTTCAGGATCAATGAAATTTATTGCGTGCCAGAAAATTCACTGCGATAGAATAGTGATTTATCATTCAAGTATCGTATGAAAATTCAACACATGGATAAAAAAATATAGGAAAAGAAGACATCATAATGTTTAAGTAAAAAAAAAACTTAAAAGAGAAAAAAATTATGGGGCCTAGCCTATTCAAACTAATCCATCATATGTTTGTATGTACAAAGGTATGTCATTCTCTCGCGACAAGGAGAAAGTGGTTGAAATATTGTACTGAAAGCTGCACTTGTTTTATATGGTTTAACAAATATGAGCTTTAGAAAATTTAACAACAACTATAGCCGATAGTCGGGCATCAATGTTAGCTAGCAACTATAGAGGTCGTTGGTTACTCACAAGATGTTCTCTTGAGAAGATGTTATGAAATTTCACTTCTTCTCTTCTTCTCCCTCTTCCAAAGTGAAGAGAGGGGAGAGTCATTTTCTTTTAGCGAGAGTCATTTTGGACTTTTGGTACATAACTTTCTTAACCACATGATTGGACGATTTATGTTGATCTCTCTTGATCATGGGTGGCTCTTTAAGGATTGTAGTGACTTAATGATATAAGAATTAAAAGATCTTAGGCTAGTTGAATTTCTCTTGTCTAGATGCTCAATTTGACTAAAAATATGTAAAATTTGGATTTCATTTGACAATTCAATTGATGAACCAAAACCTTTTGTTGTGCTTCAATGTTTGAATTTCGGCTTGCTTGGACCTGAATTAAACCAATTTTAAAGTCGCAGTGTTCATTTGTCAGAGATGCTCACTTTGATTATAAATTTGATAAAATTGGAGCATAGATGATTATAAACTTGAATTTAGAAGATTTTTTTATAAAAATGCACCAAAATTCTTACTTGATCATAACACTTTTTTTATGACACATCAAAACTATTTCTCAGTAATCAACAAATCAGAGGACCTAGGATCATTAGAACATCAAAGTAGCAACAACAATAAGAAACGATCAAAGATATAAGTAGTACCAATTTCAAATATGCAAAGCTAGTTTCACATAACAAAGAGGCTGATTTTCATCTTTGAAAGCTCACAACAATGAGGATTTATTGTCACATGTGATTGAAAGCAAAAAAGAAAAAAAAAATGAGAGAAAAGGCATTGAATAAAAGTCATTCTAGCTGATCAGCTCGAGCAACATAAAACAAACACCAAAACATCATAAGAGATTAAGAATATTCAAGAACAACATATGATACAGTTCAAAAACCGATTTGAATTCTATGTGTAGTATCTAGACTTCATCATAGCTCACAAAAAAATCCAAAACACCAAAAAGAAAATCCAAAAGCTGGTGCATGATTATGTCTAACCCCAACATCCATAAAGAGCATCATAAATAAATCCAGGGACTGCCAAATTAGATAAAGACAAAGAAAAAACAAAACCTAATAATTGAGAGAGAGCATGAGTAAGAAAAACTAGGATGAAAGTAACAACTCATAGGCAAAACACCAAGCCAAAGGAAAATGCTATGTATAATAGGAGTTGCTTTATCCACTTTTTCGTATGATTGCAAGGTGAATTTTGCTCCAAAAAAATATTAATTGGAGTGATGTTGCCTTTGAAAACTCTACAATTCCTTTGATAATAAATATAGTGAGCCACAATATCAAAAATAAATGCTAATAATTTTTAGGAATTTTGCAAGTCAATGTGTTAGCATGTATAGACACTTACGAAACATTGCAACCAAATGAAAGAAAGAAATGTGAGGCAAATTATCCTTTGGAATGAAGAGTAAAAGGGGGAACTCAAAAAATATGTGCGATTAAATCTCAGCATGAGAGAAACAAAATACGCACAAGAAATTGACTTATAGATCTGAAGAGAATCTTTTATTTTCAAACCTCCAATGAGAATTTTTCATGCAATGACAACACATTTAAGGAACAACCTTTAAACTATACAAATTTACTCTAATCATATTTGGCGTGGCCATCATATTCAAAATTAGAAACACTTTGAGATAGTTCTCTAATTGTATATAATTTGTTGTATTCATTTTTAGTGAGATTTGTTAGTTGCCCTCCTTTTAACTACATTGCTCTGGTTTTATGTTGAGTTTGTTATTAAGTCTATAATTTATCAGATGCTAGAATATTTACTATAATATAGATAAAAAGAGTTTTATATCTTCTTTTTATATGAAGATACTTCACATACATAGATAAAAGAAGATTTATACATGATACATTAGAAATTTTAATGTGGAAATCAAAAAAATCTTAATATGCAGTCCAGTTGAAATGATCCACTATATATGTAAGATTACAAAAGTCAACTCTTCCTCTCAACTAAAGAAGAAAATATTATAAAGCTAGAAACACAAACTTGGTATTATGTGATATTAGTAAATATTGTTGAAAAATAATAAATGGTGATCAACCTTGTAAAGAAATGATAATTTGGTGATAGCATTCATACACTAATAGTTAAAAGATGAAGATCGAATGATAGCTATTCAAAGATACTAGAAATATGGTTGAGTGATGATGATCAAACAATGGTTGTTGTGCAACGACAACAATTGTTGGCTTCGCTGACATATTAAGTTTTTCGAGTTCTATGTTCTCTCCAACTGTAAGTCAAGGTTTAAATTCTTTCTATATGAAATATGAATATTTATTTATAGTTTTATAGAGTGATATTTTAATAATTTTAGTCAGAATTATCAAAATGCTATTGAATGACTTGTGTTGATTCAATTGATCATAGACCATCTCTTTAGCATCTTAGTATTTTAGTAACTTTACAATTAAGTGACATTGGGATTATTGGATTTCTCTTCTCAAGACACTCATTAAGGTTACGTTAAGGACATAGAGATCATCATATCCGCTAATTAATGTCATTAAGTTTTTAATTATGTTTTTAAGTGTTTGATTTAGGTTCATTTGGACTCAAAATGGAGCACTTATGGTGTCCTTAGAACTATCAAAATATTTTTCTCTGTATGTATGTATGTATGTATGTATGTATGTATGTATATGGAGTTTTACATGCTTACCACTCAATTTTTATGTATTTACATATCTAAGTCCTAAATTTCAATTTTTATATTTGCCATTTTGATTTATGCATGAAAATGTGTATTTCATTTTTTTTAAATTATAATAATGATATTGTGTATGTGGGATTAGATCGAATGTTTTAAATGATATAGTTTAATTTAAAGATTATAAAATGTTATGACAGTACGTATAAGCAACTCAATTTTTTAAAATAAATTATTATTATCATATTATAATAAATGAGGAATGAAAATCATTATAACTTTGCTGGAATTGAAATAACGTTACACTTTACGGTCGGTCTGTCGATAAAGCTCGTTGTTTGCAAATAACTCATATTCGAATCTCTCGCGAAGTAAGCGAGCCAAATATGAATAATTTTTTTAAACTCGAATTATAAGCGAGCCAAACACGAACAACACTTTCTTCGATTGTGTTCGCCTCGTTTTAGTTCGTAATAGAGAAATTAAATCCAACGCACTATGTCTGTTTTTTCTAATTAATTTGGACGAGTCAATTTTGAGCCGAACACAGACAAGAATATG